ATATATATATATATATATATATAATCAGTGAATCTACACATGAGGTTAAAGTTTGATGAAGCATACTTTTGATCTATCTAATAGATACTGAATAAAAGTATTGTTCATGTAAAAAAAAAATACCTAAAGGGTAGTGTATTTCTATATTTATATGTAATGTGTAGGGATGGATTTTATTCATACTTAAATGTACCCAGGAATAAAATAATACAAACATTGGAGTCTAAAGAAGAAGACCTGTGAAAAACATGCCCAGGATGTACCCAGACTGGCCCTTAGTGCAAAAGCTCTCAAGCTCAACACTATGTACAATCTGGACTTCCATCTATAGTCTTAGATTTATCTTTGAGTGATTGATGCTGTGCATTTATGTCTGAATTAGCTGTTATTGTTTGATCATGTAAGTGGCATGAACACTTTCATCTGTAAAATAAAATGTTAAGTTTTGATGCATTCTGAATTCTACTGAAATCTTTTATACCCAGTAAATTATGTTGAGGCTTTTGCTACCTCTCTGCAGGCACAGGATGTCAACATGACTTCATATTGACGTTGTACCCCTAAGTACCCCAATGTTGTGGGGACGTTGGATTTTGTTTGGAAATGAAAATCAGGCCGACGTCAATATCCAATGTCTAAATGACTAAATGACTAAAAATCAACCTAAAATCAACTATATATCAAAGTTTAATCATGTTGCACCTTGATGTTGTGTGGACGTCACCACTATGACATCTATCAAATGTTGGATTTTCCAACACAACCTAAACTTAACCAAAAATCAACTAAATTTGAGGTCGGTATTGTCTTTAGACGCTGGCTAGACATTGAATTTTGGTCACCTGACCTAAATCCAGGGCTTAATTTGTGGATCCAGCACCTCTGAAATCTGATCCATCACCTGATCTGACCTTCTCAACTGCCCTCCTCCTCCGTCCGATGTTCACTTTCACTTTCTTCCACAACTCCCTAACCCTCTTCACTTTCGTCTACGACAACTCCCCTCTCTTCACTTTTGTCCTTTTTCCGCGACACCCCTCCACTATCCAACCCCCTCGCACTCCACTTTCGTGTGGACACCTCTCCATCCTCAGGTAACATGCTGGATTCGTTGCCCCGATCTGTTCTGGGACCTCTCAATTCACAAATTAAGCACTGCTTGATGTTGTGTGCCTGCTGGGCTTTATCTGTGTACATGATAACTAAACAAATCACACAGAACTGTTTGGAGCAGTTGTCACTTAAGCCTTATTCGATTAAGCCTTAAGCTTAAGCCTTATTCGAGACTTATTCGATTTCTGGTTATCGCTCATTTAGCAAGTTGTAAGGAAATTACTAAATGAACTACATTTTTAGCTTAAGGAAGCAACCGGACTAATTGTGGATGTCAACTTCAAAACGTGAAGATAATGTCCATGAGAAAGACGCAAACCCCCGGGTGTGAAAACTCTGTGCTACAGTGTGTCCCTAATAAACGTATAAAATAGAATATGGGATCTGATTTAAATTAAAAAAAAAAAACTTTAAATTGATTCATGAATGGCAAAAGTGACGCCTTTCTAATTAAAAATGCAGTCTAAATTTGACTATTACTTAACAATGGAGTCCGATTGAATTCAGAGCTGAAAACAGATATAAATAAATTCTTATAAATAACAAAATTCTTTTCAGAAGCGCTAGAAAAGGCATACACACGTTTAACCTTCGACCATTCATCTGATTCCATCGTTGGGCAGGTAGAATGGCATCTTGCAAATGCAAAATGAAATACTGGGAGAATTTTTTAGCTATATATTAACCCGCCCTGTTTTCATTCTCCATCACTTGCTGCGATTTATCAATAGTTAAGTATGTTCTTAAGTATGTTAATGGAGCTGGTGGCTCGATGCTTTCAAATGAACGTCTTTTTCCTCACGCTGTTCAGATGTGCTGCAGAAAAGACAGATCCATGTGCAGCTCCAGAATTGATCAAGCTTAATGGAAAAGCTAATCAGTAGCTTCCTCTTTCCTGTCAGGAAGCTTGAATCATAGAGCCTTTTGATGAATGTCCTTCTCTCAGCAGCTCTAGTGTCCATCACTTTCCAAATGCATTAGGTTCAACCTCCTGAACTACTGCAATCCTGCCCTATTGCCCCTTCTTTTACCTCAACATCTTTTTTAACCTGGATAACTTTATATATATTTTGCGGAATACAAATAGATGCATTTTAAGAAACATACTGGGAGTTTTTTTTATTCGTATTTAATCAAATGAAGCATTAAACATGATTATAAAGCTGTTTTTTATGCTATATCTGGAGTCTTCTCAGTTTTGTCAGTGAGTTAGTGGCTCACAATATCAGCTTGAATGGTTTGCTCATGAATTGAGCTGATTAGCTTAATGATTGCAGAGGTTCTTCAGTTAATTGCTCATAGGAGGGAACATGTTTTAGTGAATAATGGCTTAAAGGGGCTATTTGTATGAATTGCAATGTATTAATCACTTTTATTTTCAGTGTGCGAGGAGCTTGTAGAAAAGCATTCCTAACTCTGTCTATGAAAGCTTGTAGACTGTAATGTGGAAGACTCAGGACATTCTTTCTTTTTTTCTGTTGGAATCAAAAGGTTGTGACGTTTACATGTGCTCCGGAGAGCCTTTCTTCAGTTCTTTGGGACATGAAACGCATGCTTATATGATGAAAAGGA